GTTTAAAAATTTTACAATTGAAAATAAAATTCTAAGTTCTATGTAATTTAGATAGTATAACAATTGTTAATTCTCAAGGTAAACCTCGTACAAGTAGGCGAACATTATCTGAACTTCATTTTGATTGTGAAGTTCGATCATTAGGTAAAAAGTATTGAAATATTTATTTATTTTTTATAGTTTTTTCTTCTATTTAAGTTTGTTTACAAGATAGTGTACTTGCATTTCATGAACATGGAATGCAAGGTAGAAGTCTTAAAGATAATGAAGTTACACAAGAAGTTTATGATCATACTCGATCATTTCGAGTTATCGGCAGTGATAGGTAAATAATCAAAATTTTCAATATCTAAACAAATTTAGTTCTTGTTTTATTCTTGTAAAGATTAATTGTTTTACAAAGTCGTCCATCATTATCTTCAAAATCGTCGGATATAGATAATAATCTCATACAATCAATAAGTCAATTAACTACGGCATCATTCTCAACTGCACCATGCGATTTACATATATTAATGGGTCATGAAAATACATAATCATATTTATTCTTCCATGTTTTTTTTTTGTTTATATATGTGTAAAAAAACATAACAAAGATAGATTTATCATGCATATAGCCGGCCGGTATTATGAAAATTCAAACAAAATTTCTGCTCTTTTTTTAAGTCAATTTCTTGTTCAGCTTTTTTTCTACGTATAACAGTGTTTTGTGAAAAGAATAATTCTTCATTTCAATAATCTATGCGCGTATGTGTGTGTGTTCAAGGTCAGATTTGTTATTATACGTCATTTGCTAGTTAATCCTTCTTCTATATACATATATATATAAGGCACTGTGCAATAGGTGAGCTAGCTTATTGTTTGCTCGATAACATACAAGTGCCTAAATTATTATTTCATGTATGTGTGTATCCTTATTCAGATAGTGTGTTTGTTGATTATGTGGAAAGAAATACATGTACGTAAGAGTATCATTATCGTCTTATTGGATTCTATGATTTATGTTTTTTTTTCTTTTCTTTTGGTATAAATGAATTTTAATTTACGGAAAGAAAAACGATGAAAATAATTCAAATTTCTTACAATTGAATATATCGAAGAACAATACTAAAGATGTGCCAGTGAGGTCAATGGTTGATGTTATCGCCAGATATCTTTCAGTTCGAGTCTTACGGGACAGTCATGAATCCTGAAAAATCTCGTTTACAATGTTCCGTAAGATATTCAGGATCGAAACATTTTGAACATACAGCCGAAGATTTGAAACTCGAAAAAAAGTGTCATGCAAGACTATTATTTCAGTGTACATAAATTCTTTTAGGTTCTATGTGACTATTAAAATTGATATTTTAAAAAACTTTTCGTTGTAACTGCTTAAGGCATATCTATAATACTGAAAATTCAGGCATTCGAAAAGGTTATCATGAGTGTATTTTCGAGTTTCTATGGCCTATCGAAAACATTCAATACACGTAAAGACAAATAAGTGATACTATGTAGTGCGAACACTCACAATATCATAATTATTTTGACACTTTCAGACTACCAAATGTTGTTTTCTTTTTTAAATTGTCAATTTAAGAAAAGTTTTTATCGACATTGCATCACATACATTTTCTTTACGTAATTGTACTGAAAGGATCTAACTTAATTCATTAACTCAAAGTAAATGGTTATTTTCCATAGTGTAATGCAGATTTGATACAGCTGTTTTATTGTATTCAAAGAAATGTTCATCAAATTTTCCTCTATGAACAATTGCATTAATTATTAGTAGTATAATGGGTGTTATTTTAATTATAATTGCTTTAATTAATGTATCGTTTTGATGTTTATGATAGTTATAGTAAATGAAATATTTTATTTAAAAGTTAACTATATTAAAAATTCCTACGAGTGTGATGGCATTTCGTTTTGAATCTCGATCACGCGATTAAAGTTTATTGTGCTCTCGTACTCTATTGGACTTCAACATTATCAATTATTGTTTTATATACTACTATTATAAGTACTAGTTATCCTTTAATTAATTTCATATTATTACAAAGAAGTAGACGTAAAAAGTATAAAAAAGAAGCAATTGATAATAGAACTTCTAACATACAACATTGACTAGTTGTATTATTATTTAGAACAGAAATTCAATAGGTATTCATTATGAATATGCCTAAATTGATTAACATATGCATGTATTTGTTCGTAATATGTCTTTTTACAACTGATTAAAACTTTTTATTTAATTTATAAAGAAGCATTGTTTCAAATAATTTATATTACAAACTCATTAGAAGTTTGTAAAAGAAATTTTTGCAAATCGTGTTAGAATAAGATCAACTTATAGTTCATTATCGTACTATTTTTAGATGATTTATGAATTTTATTCTTAATAACTTGTGATAAAAATAGAATTAGGACCAACAGATTTTACTAACACGAAAGAGGATTTGAGAAGATGATGTTGATATATGTACAGATTAATCCACAGTTGCTAATGCTTATTTTTTTCAATCAATTGATCGTCTCAATATTATCTTCTTTGAAAAAAAATGACGTACTTCAAATTTGACATCATTAATAGTATTAACATAGAAGGCCAATGATCCAATTTTTTTTTCTTTTTATTCAATGTTTGTTCAAAATTTGAATCAAAGACTATCACGTTCTCATCAGTTATACATAAGTCACAATCTTAATTTGATAACATATTGAAGTAAAATTGTTTTTCAAAATTTTTGCCTAGTAGTTTGACTGATACTTTATCTTTCTCTCGTTCTCCTCGTTATCGTAGAACAATGTACTGTCTGGACAATATAGAAAAGAAAGGAAAAAGAAAAACAAACAACAAGAACAAGAATAAGAATCATTTCTTTTATTCTCACATAAGACATGGCATGTTATGAAGTTAACTGCATAAATTTATCCTGTGCTTTATGTTATGATTGTCAACAATCACTCTGTTTAAATCATATTATAATACATCATAATACTTCTATTGAACGTCATTTATCATTTTATGAAATTCTTCAACAATTATATCATAAACTTCATTCAATGAGTATTGAACAATGTTATCATCAAGCATTTGAACAAATATCATTAAATCATCCTTATTCAATAGATACAATTCTTCATCTTCGTTCGATACGTGAAGAACTTATGGAACAATTAAATAAGTTTAAACAAAAACAGTTTAATCAATTAAAAAAAATTAGTATTAGACTTTATGATATAAAACAAATGATTAATAATAATGAAGCAAATGATATTAAAATAAAATTAGATCAAATTCAAATATCAATTAATTCACTTATTTATGGTATACATTTAGAAATGTCTAAAACAACAAAAAATATTCAATGCCGAAAAATTTTTCATCATAAAATACAACCATCATCTGATATTAAAACAGATTTATTATTACAAAAAAGTTCTAGTTGGACAAATGGATCTACGGAAAATTATTGGAAGAAAAAAAATGAATTAGATGAACGTTTGTCTTTGTTTTGATTTATTTGAAAAATAAATATAGAACAGTCAGTTTAATATATAGAAATTTACTAAGAATCAAAACCAAAAAATATACTATTGGTTGTAGGTTTGATTGGAATTTAATTCCTCTCTCCTCATAACAATTTCAGAAGTGCCACTGATGAAAAAATCATTGGTATGGAATATTGATATCTCTGATATATGTTGATAGTATGAGCGAATCGATCAGGAGCACTCTCGTTTGTAACAGCAGTTTGATCACTCTAGTAACCATTGAAGGGAATATGGCTGACAAAAATTCTATGTGAGGCCTTCCATAAATCTGATGTATAGTTCGAAAAGAAAACGCCGTAGAGAGGTCGGAGATGTCTCAAAGTGATTTGCTCTATCATTATATACGATGTCAGCAAATTTTATGCTCGAATTGTAGACACTGAAAAATTAAAGGTTCGGTTTTCAAAAAAAACTCTTAGTGGCTATTCTGTGTTTTATCATTTCTTGTCTACTTAGCTTTTGTAAAAATTTTGGATGATATTGATACCGGTAGTAGACATTGTCATTGTTATATATCACACAATGCATTTCCATCATGTATTTTGTTTATTGATATAAAGGTATTTTATTGGGAAAAAAATCCGACTTTAGCAGTTGTCAAATTTTATCGATTTTGTAAATCATCGTTTTCGAAGTGTTTTACTTCCATTTTTTCTTTATTTTCTGAAATTGTTCGACAAATAATCGCTCCAGTAACTAAAGAGGGCGGAGAAGTGGGATAAAGTGTTAACAGAATGTATTACCAAACAATTATTCTCTTGATAATAAAGATCAATTGTTTTGATGTCAGTAAAACAATAACATATTTCATATATATCGCACTAGAAGTTTTTAGTTCTTTTATGTCAAAACCTTTGTTTGCAAAATCAATGTAAAACCCAGATTTGGAGTAATTTTAGAATTACGATCAGAATAACTACCAGTTAAATATTCATATTAATAATCTTGGATGGACGAGTGACTTTGTCACACCAAAATACTTTTGTCTAACAAAGAATCATTGCTGAGGAAATTGTAAATGAATACTAAAATGTTGCATTTACAAGATAAAGTCGAAAATTAATTCACATGGTCATTGAATATCAGTGAACAGCGTTTTAAGATAAAACATAAAATGCCAAAGCTGTTTTAACAATAAGCTGATATTTTCTATGAAATGATATAATGCTCTTATATTAAGAATAATAGGAGTCCAATAGCTGAAAATCTACTAATTACATGACAAATAGCGATATCTAGTGTATAGACTGTTCAAATCAGTTTTTTTCTATCAAAAGAAATATAAAAAAAAAACAACTAATACCGATTCAACAGATTAAATGAATTAACATTTGTGAAAAATCATCTAGATACTTAATTTTTATTGTTATTTAATCATCTTGTCCTTTGTAATGATTATCATTATTTTATTCTCGTTTTATTGTTAAAAAATTGTTTTCTAGGACATTAATCAGTTTTTATTGATGGTGTTGGTTGGATTTCGGCATGATCACCACGTTTCCATTGAATACGCTGATGCATGCATTGCAAATTTCTTCAATATGACGGTGATTTGTTCCACAACATCCGCCGATTATATTCAAATTCTTGAGTTTACTTAAAAGTGCTCGATTATCCTTACCGAATTCCACTGGATTTCCTTGATCAAGTTCTTTAGTCTCATTGAGCTCAGCATGACTCCTTTTTGAACCATTACCTTTAATTCCATGAATCCTATCTGTCCATGTTCCATCAGGAATTAAGGCACGCTCAAAATGGCTGGGATGTACACAATTTACCATATAATAGGCGGGTGCACTCTGAGTAGCTTCATCCACTAGTTCAATCGCCTCTTTCAGGGTTTGTCCTGTCGGCAATCTACCATCAATCTCGAGCGTAAACGAGATTACGACAGGCATGCCAACTGCCTTTGCAGCTCTTGCGATTCCAATAGCTTCTGCAGGATATGTAATTGTCAAGCCGCTCACCATATCCGCGTTAGTTTTACTAAAAACATCGATTTGTGTCGCATGATACGCTTGTGCTTCTTCAGCCGACATAATCATCGTAGGATTATATCCATCTCCGCGTGGACCAATACATCCATCAATAACGATCCGAGTTTTTTCCGTTTCATATTCATCGCGAATTTCGGATAGTAATTCGATGGCTTTGCGGTTCACGCTAATTAAGTCTTGATCAGAATAACCAAGTTTTCGCATCCAATCAGGATTAGCACGCCATGTTACACTTTCTGATATGAATCCAACATTATGTTTTCGAGCAATGTTGAAGAACGAACGTAAATAGTTTCTTATCCATTCGCATCTGGCTTCATCCTCCAATAGATGGAATGCGGCGAAGTCGGGAAGTTCCACACCTTCCTCATAGATAAGTACAGTCTCAAGGCCACCTTCGGTAGTAAAGAAGGTATCGGAAAGTTGAGGCAACCGGTTTCTGTATTTAGCCATAATATGACTATGCAAGAAAAATCTATTGTGTCCTAAACAATGTACTTGTAAATGCTAAGAAAATATTTCGATAGAAGTTTATAGTGATATTTAAAAGCATTGTTTAAATAGGTTCATATTAGAATCCTAGAATGAGCATATGTGCACGTTGGAAGCTTACGCATTTATCTGATTTTTCAAAAAACCAGAAGTTGTTGTATTTATGTATGATGAAACCGTATGAAATGATTAAAATTCTTTTGCATTTATATTATGTAAATTATCATCATTTATTTTCGCAGCAGGAGGACAGTAAAAATCTCTTTCTCTAGTAGCGATGTCATCTGTATTTTAAATCCTTTTATAACCATGGTATTGAACTGTTTCTTATACTGTTGATATGATATCCAAACATCAAGTTGTGTTACTGTCTGTCGTGTACTAGATTTTAACATAGAGTATTCAGTTACGGCTGTTCATATTCATGTTCTGTACGATTTGAACAATGCGTTCTTAAATATTTATCGACAGAGCAAGAACCAATCGATGTTCTCATCTGGTTCTTGATCGAAAGATTTCATCGATTTTTAGACTAGTCATCAGATAGTTAAGTGTGGATCAAATTTTTCTTGTTTGTGCACCGGTGAAAATGTCGTGACCACAACTGCAACGTACTGTGACAGTACTTAGAAGTGAAAAGTTCTTAACTACAATGGTACTCTAACTCACTTTAAGAGTCACATACTAATCGGTGTGACAAGTCGTAAAAAATATTCCTTATTCTGATTACATCACTAAGTAGTCGCAAAATGTGACGAGTGGGATACACAAATAGCCTCCAAACATTTACGAATATTTTGCTCAGGTTGAGGGCTAAAAGGCATTCATGACACATGAATATATAAAGGTTATGATGTGTCATTTTGCTATTCAACCATGCGCCCTGGCAATTATACATACCAAAGTTACCGTCTGAATTAATCTTATTTTTTCAGAACAATACATGTCGGTTGTCGATATTTTGGAATGCAACGATTTCTGATGCTTTTTAAACCTGACCCTTGCTAATTTCTGCTAACTATGAAAGAAAAATAGGTAATCAATGAATACAATATTTCAAATCGGAAGTTATCGAAGGTAGTCTGATTTGAAAATGGTTTTATTGAATTTTCTGACGTTAAATTGCTTCAGAATGTGAAGAATTTCGGCTAGATCTGTTATAGAATCTAGCATGCTCTGGTCGTTTCAAACCTAGAGCTTCTAAGGTGGATCTAATATGATTTGACTGTATCTGGTCGACTTTTTACAGGCGACGATAATCTTTGGAAACTTCTAGGTTCGACTACAGTCTTTTCCGGTAGGATTCATTTCATAAATTGGCTCAACTTGAACTGTTTGAAAACTGACATATCTAAACAGAGTGAAACATAGAAAATGACATATTTTCTACTAACTTCTTCTGATCATAGTTTACTTGGATTTTATCAAATGATGTCACGCAATTTACTCGACAAACAGGATCAAGATGATTCTTCTTCGCTCTTGATCCGGGCGACTTCGCTTATAAAAATGTTCAAAAAAGATAATAATAAGAAAATTCTTACTGAATTGCCATAATCTTCTGACAATTGCAATCTCTGAATCGAAAAAGCACAACGAATATTATTATTATTTTTATTAACTCACGCAGATAAAATGAATCTGCATATTTTTCTCACATTAGTTTATAAGTTGTGGAAGATAAGAGAAAAATGGTTATCTCATACGTTATTTAAGGCATAAAAACAAGTTAATGACGTCATCAAGTGATTCATAACAACCTTGAGTCATTTACCTGAATTCAATTCAAAACAAGGTTGCTGCAGCAGAATAATAATATTAGTAATCTAGAGGCTTTAGTCAAAGGCACAATTTTAAAAAAGAAGTATTTCTTCATTCTGAATGGTAGATTTATTGTTGATAAAAAAAATCCCGTAAAAAAGAGATATCGTTTAATTCGAACTGATCGATAGCATGAAGCATCGCCTCGATAAAAATAAAAATACCTATTTCAGTGTTCTTTTGACTTAGCAACAAGTTTCTTCAGATAGTTTTGAAAAATTTGAATTTTGATTATCGAAAATTAGTCATATTGTAATGAGTCAGTTCACTAAGCAAAGCGATTGTTTCTTGCGACTATAGCTTTACTATCAATCGTCTAATTTGTTTTCGTCTAGATTGAGTAATTAAGATACTTCATTCACGAACCCGTTACTTAAAACTGTAGGAGTCAGTTGTCGAAAAATTTTAATTTTTGAATTGACCAAAAATCATGATTTTTAAAATATTTCTTCTTTATGAGGCTTTCTTTTACAAAACTTTGGCAGACACCAATATCAAATTACACCCACTGATGAAACCGAATTCGCTCGGCAATTGTCTCTATTTCATATATATGTCATGTTACGTACTTTGGACAAGAAAGTAACCCATTATTTTACGTTAAATCGACCAGTTTTTGGTGTATTTGACATTCTGTTTATTAACTGTCTTACCATTATTATGTAATTATTTTTCAAGAACCTGAAATGCTTTTTGGATATTGTGTTAGAGCATCGAAAAGTGCATCTCTTCGTACAAATACTTCTGACTTAAAGTACGTACTTGCAAAATCTGAAAAGTCTGTACCAAGAAAATTCATTGTAAAATATATTTTATATTTTATGAAAATGTACTTTCCAAGTTGTCTTTTATTAAAAGATTGAATATTGTCGAGAAAGTTACAATTTTTTTTTTATAGTAGTTTAAGAACTTCTTTATGAACACAGTGATTATGTCATGCATGCTGCCACTTCTTTTTGATCGGTGAAATTAAAAAATAAGGCAATATTCATGTCTAAATCTTGCTTCTAATATACTGCTTTTGTTAATTTTAACTCAATATCTTAATCAAAGTCAGAGCTTTACTGGAAAGTCGGTAACAAACAAAGCGATTATAAGTTGACTAAGTATATTTGACACGTTAAATAATGACTTTTCTCTAGGGTTCAAAATAGATTATTTTTTACACTTCTCTGCTTTTCCACTATTTTAATGCCATAGCCTCCGTTTTCTTATTAATAAATAAAAATTTGCATTTTAATATTGTGTCACAGATTGGGTACTTTAATCCGCTGTAATCTTGAGGCACAGGAAACCTTTCATTGTCTGTGACGGTCTCATCATGAATCTCTTCTCCATCGATGGCTGTGATTATAGAAGTTTCAAGGAAAACTTTATTAGAGCAGGACAGTCATTGGAGAGAATAACAAGGTTAGAGATTAAAATTAGTCAAAAAAAAACACGAGTGCTTTTTGATGATTTCCATCAACTTTCCTGTGATGATTACCCAAAGAATACATCATAGAATTAGGCAAACTCAAACCGTTTGACGTAAACTTTTTATTGATAACAGAGACAACACCGAGCTGTTAAACGAAGGATCTAACATCATGAGACTTGTTCTCTATATTAATAAAACATCATCTAAAGAAAAAATCTATACTAGTCTTCTAGCTGTTACATATGATGACCGATAGAGTTCTAAATGCTCTATTTCGAGTTAAACGATGAAACCAAAGTATTAAAGTTTATATACTGTTTACCTAGTAGCGCGACTTTTTGCAACTACGGTATATATCAACTGGTTATCTATTCTCATCCAAATCGTCGAGCATTCTTATGTTCACGTTGCTGTATCAGCAAAAATAATGAGTTTTTTTTATTAATTCACTCGTTTAAACAGGAGCCTCAATTTTTCTCAAAGCAGGATAGTATTTGGTTCGAATAGAATACGAATAAATTTTGCCTCTGAAATATAGCTTCACTCGGTCAACGTTTTTTTCGGTAACACTCTCTGGATAGAACAAAGGTAGATCACAATCTCGGTGCATGTTCAGAGTTTCATTGTTCTGCCTTTCTATACATTAGTTGTCACTAAAAAAAGGTTCATCAGGACACCATTGAGAACAACTTAACAGTCGTCAGTCCTGCTGTGATTTCACACTCCTAGTGAACTTTGTTTTCGATACTTACCGGGTTCCATCGCAATAAGTTAGATCCATGTTTCTTTTTTTCTCTATTTCCTAATGTCTATTTTTTTCGTATACTCATTTTTGCAGTCATTTTTCTCGTAACTTGCACATAATAGTTTTGCACAGAATCTCAATATGTTATGTACAAGTAACGCTCGTCGCTGTAATTTACTTGACAATCGACTAAGAGTTGCGTTTGCTTACGCATCCGTTTCTACTCTTTACCTATTCAACCAATCGGACACATACCGACATACTCACATACGAACTCACTCATTGCCACAAAGACTTACCACATGTATACCACAATACCAACTAGAGATGAGTACAGGACAGAACAGAACAAGTTGTCCTGTGCTCATCTCTGATATCATTATCATCGTGGAACTTTGGTGCCGAATTGCTGAAAGCTATGTGAACAAATGATAGCATACTAAAAACCAGATGTTACCGGTTATGAAAGATGGATCGAATAACTAACATTTTTTCATCCGTGCTGTTTTTAAAAACAATCTACAAAAATTCTTATGAGTTTTACGTTACTTGCAGCTCTGTAACTATGGAGAGGTAGAGACCTAAAAATTCCGGCTTCGAGTAAATCTAAATTTTCAGTATATCTGCTATAGCTATCAGCAGATTCTACTGTAGAAACGTCTTATAAAGGAATACTACCTGAGGAGACAAAAATTTACTGGATATACTATTTACGTATATATAACGTCACTGAGTTGATCAAATTAGCTAAATAACGAAAATGTTTACAACTCATATATATAATTATAAAAGGAACTTCTGATACTCAAAGCAAAATAGCATTCTTTTGTTCGTACCATACTCGACATCTTAATAGTCAACTGCAAAAAACAAAACGTTTCACGTACACAGCTATAGTTGATATTGTTCTCTTTATTTTTTCACGAAAGCAATCTAAGAATTGCTAAAAAAAGAGTTGAAAACACCGATCATTTG